GGGATGTTTGTTTCTGTATGAAGAAGTAAGAAAAGTCATGTTTCAGCTCATTTGCAAAGGGTTCCATGGTCCTGCCTGTCTAAACCACTACTCCAAATACCTCTGTATAGATGGGGAAAATAGGGAAAAATATAGAGAAAATAGAGAATATAGAGAAAAATAGGGAGGAGTTGGGATGGGAGAAGTTGGAAAGGCTGGTATAAGAAGGAGAGGATTTCAGGCATGAAAGCACAGCCAAAGCTGGAGGATGTAGAGCCTCACCCCTCCTGTGCTGTTGGTGACACAGATTTTGTACGAACGGAAATTTGGCTTAGCTTAAGGTGGTGCCTCAGAGCGCAGTAATAAATCGCAGTGTCCTCAAGAGAGACTCCTGCTATTTCTAAGGGGGCTGTCTTATTATCGTAGACTACCATGGAGAATTTGCCACTGCGGTACTTTTCATTCTCTGTAGTTTTATGTGCTTGCAGGAGAAATGTCAAAGTACTTCCCGGGAGCTGGTGGTACCAGAAGAAGTTCAAATTGGTCTCACTCTCCTTAGTGGACTGACAAGGAAGAACCACTCGCTCTCCAACTTTGACTAGCATCTCAGAGAAGAATTGCTTCAGGGGATTACCTCCAACAAGACCTGCAACACAGGCATAAATGTGTCTGCAGAGAAGTTTGCTTTCTTCTCTCACTTGCTCTGTGTTTAAGACTGCCCCAATCTTTGCTATCTTTCCAAAGGAAAGTTCAGATATCTATATCCACCCCCCTTCTACGTTTCTCCCTGATCTCATCCTCCTGTTGGTAGACACCTCCAAATAACTTATTAAAAACCATGAGAGACAACAGGGAGGACATGAATACACCCACCTGACTGGATTAGCAGGATATATGCTGGAACAGCCATGGTGAAGATAATTTTTCCCATCTCAAGAACACTTTTGCTTCACGAGACTCTCAGCACACAGCAGAACACTCTTGGTAGCACAATGAAAAGGCACCACCCTGCAGAGAGAGTGCAGTGCACGTGTGACGCAGTCATTCCTCTGCGGTGTGGAGGGCTGCAATGAGGCCCATACACCTTTTGCTTTTGCTTGTCTCCACAGCAGAGAGTGGACAGTCTCAGTGGCTTCCTGTACTTTTCCTTGGGCTTCCTTCTCTGTCCATAACATTTACTGTGTGAGGCAACGTCTCTGCCTTGCTGCAGAATGTGTCTGCTTCTGTGTGCTCCTTGATGGTGGGCGGGCTTCTGAAAGCACAACAGCTCCTCAGAGAGTCCTCAGAGCATTCAGGGCTCTGGGAAACACAGGTGTCGTGTTCTTTTCAAAGAGTTTTGAGTTTATCTTAGTTCAGACTCTGATATTTTGGAACCAGCTGTTCAGTGTTTCTCTATACGTGACGGCTCAGGAGACAAGAGGAAGTTTTTTTGGTGGGGAAAGGGTATTTAAATGGGTGAACACATAAATTTATAGAACAGGGTTATGTAGTCCTGGTTCCAGTGGATTGGCTTAGTGCTGGCTGGGGAAGGTGAGGGCATGGTGTGGAGGAGGAATCTGCAGCCCCATCCACAGTGCAGTTCTATACCTGTGCAAGGCGTAAGGGCAGAACTTGGAGCTTTCCAGCCACTGTTGACACAGTGAAAAGGAAAGGGACTGAGATGGGGACAGAGACAGAAGCTAAAACCCCGGTGTGTGAATTTTGTGAGCAGAGAAGTGCCAAAGAGCAGCTCCTGAGCAGCACCTCTCTCCCTCTCCAGCCTCCCGGCAAATCCTGAGCTTTTGCTCTTTCTCATTTTGCTGCATACTTTGACTACAATAGACAGATCTTCACTGCTGGCCATCTGATTCTGCAGCAATGTACTTTTTATCAGCCAAGGCTGCAAGGTGAGAGTGGCCCTGTCAATCAAAGATCCTCAGCTGAAATTTGCCCAGGTGGTGAACATCCCCGGGCCAAAGCAGCCACTGTTCTTCAAGGACCCAGCGATGCCCCAGAAGGTACCCGGGCTTACTGCTCCCTGATGACCCACAGGACCAGTGATTTCAGTGCAGGGTGCAGATGTTTGTGACAGATTGCCCAGCCAACGTGAGCACTTTGAAAGCTTCAGTGGAAAGAAGCTGGTTTGGTGCTGTGCCTGTGGGAGGGTAAGACACAGTAAGACACTTATGTTCCCCCCTTTGGACACAAGGGCAATATCCTGCACCTGGGGAGGAACAACCCCATGCAGCAGTATGTGCTGGGAGCAGCCTAGTTGTTAAGCAGGTTTGCAGGAAACAGCCTGGGCGGTTCTGCTGTATACCACACTCAGTAAAGCTCCCTTGCCTCAAAGAAGGAACTCATAAGGCAAACCCTATCCTTTTGTACTCTTTAGCACTTGGGACAACAGCTGTGTCTTGTGCTGGTGAGGAACAGAGACAAGACTTCCAGCTACAGGGATGCACTCCAAAGACTCTCACACTGAATTAAGCTAAGAATCCAAACTATTATGAAGACATTTTTGTTGGGGCCTGAAATCAGCAGAAAAACTGAACTTTACAGGCACAGGATAGAGACAGCTGGAAATACAGAAGGTTGCATTTCAGTGCCTCTGCTGTGGGCAGATCTCTGCCAGGTTTGATCTGTTGCTGTTCAGCATCACTGAATCTTCTTCTGGTGCTGGCTGCTTTGTGGAGCTTTTGGGCAGAGCAGCAAAGGGAGTCCCTGCTGTGAGCAGCAGGTTCCCATGTGAGGGAGGACACACAAACACACACATGCTCATGTGACATCACTCATGCAAAAATCTGCACCCAAAACCACTTGCAGATACAGCATGCAGAGAAGTCCAGGAAAGAGAACACGTGCAGAAACATGGGAAACTGTGCACTCAACTGGGGATACCCTGGGGGTAGCCCTGTCAGGAATGCTGGAACATTCTGGAGATGGCAAAGGCCCCAGATGAGCTAATGGTGCTGTTTGAAGACTGCACAGAGGGGAGGTGAACTGGGAGCTTTGAAGAAAACATTGTATTCAAGGAATCTGTGATCATGGGCAATTCATGTCTGCTCTATTGGGCCTTGCACTGGAGATTTGGGAAGCTCCTACAGTGAGTGCCCTGTGCTTGTGTGTGGGTGTCATGGCAGAAATAACCTTACAGTGTGTAAGGAGAAAATGTATGATTGGTTTTTTTTTTGTTGTTTGTTTGTTTGTTTGTTTGTTTGTGGGACTTTTGTTATACAGAATATAAGACACCAGGGTGTGGGAAGGAAGCAGAAGCTCTTTCTGGTTGGGGTCTCTGTGAGTGTCTTTGGAAAGTCCACCAGGGTCTGTTTAATGCTGCATGAATGCAAGATTCCTAGCATCTTAAAGAATGCAAGGTTTAATTCCCATCTATGCTCTTGTTTTTATTCTGTTGCTAATACAGCCCCTTTATAATGACATTTGCTACCAGACCTTTCTTTCTGAGATCAGGGAGGGACCCTGCACCCCTTCTTCCCCTGTGACACCTCTCTGATACAGAGGAGGAACAGAAAACAAGCCAGCAGAATTTTCCGGATACAGTGGTAGGTGGGATATGGCCAAACCCAGGAGCTGGCCACTTCTTGCCGACAGGGCCATAAAGACCCCAAAGGAGTGGCCCAGACTGACATCATGTGCCTTTTCTGGACTTGTCCAGCAAGTGATCTGAGTCTCCTGCCCACACTGATGTGTTTTGATCCAGAAATGCTTGGGCCTTTCATCTTGTCACATTAAAAAAAAAAAAAAAAAAAAAAAAAAAAGAAGGCTTAATAGAGGAAGCCAAACCCCAGTCCATGGTATCAACTGGAATGTTTTGCATTCAAGATTAATTTGTCAAAAATTATCACCTCCACAAAGGATGCCTCTGTCAGTCTAGGGCAGTAAAGGTCCAGAAAAGCCAGCCCAGCTCTTTGCTCTCCCATCTCTTTCTCTTGACTTTTTCTTGGGAGTCAGGTGAGTCTGAAACTTTTTCTCCCTCTCTGCTTTGTCTAAAAGGTCTCAATTCAAAAGATCTCTCAATTGTGACCAGCTTTTTCCTGTGACATGGGGTTTCTTGTCATGGGAGGGGGAGAAGGTTCAAAGTGCAGGGAGGCTGGGACTGTGATCAGTTGTTATCTGGACTTGGAGTGTGGGCGGTGGCTGCATAGGAGCTGGTGATTCTTTTTAGGCTCTGGCAGGATGAGGCCAGCAAGCCCTCATACATCTCTACAGAGCATCCACCTCCTGGCACTGCATGTTATTTGACTCCTGATGTGGTTACAGGCTGCTCCTCATGTGTCTTTATATTTTGCTTTTTCCCTGCCCTCTCTCCAGGTACTCCTCATGCCCCAAGACATGTCCTGCATAGAGAAGTGCCAGCCCTGACAGCCCTGCGACCCCACCCCACTGGCCAACAACTGCAAAGTGCCAGAGCTCCCATGTCGTCATTGAGCCGCCTGCTGTGCTGGTGACCCTGCCCGGCCCCATCCTCAGCTCCTTCCCACAGAACACCGCCGTGGGATCCTCCACCTCCGCTGCCGTTGGCAACATCCTCAGCTCTGAGGGAGTGCCCATCAGCTCTGGGGGCTTTGACATCTCCTGCATCACCCACAGTTATGGTGGCAGAAGGTATCCTCCATGCTAAACCCACTGGTGCAGCCCTCACAAGGATCCCCAGGAACCCAGAAGCTGATGCTGGACTGAGAACACAGCTCCTGGCCATCAAATTCAGAGGTGCTGAGCAACCAATGCTGCCCTTCCATAGGGCAGCTGGGAGTCTCTGAAACCATGGCCAGTGTTTGATTTCCCTGTCTCCCACCTTTCTCTTGTCTTCTATACTTTTGTGCTGAAGGAACCCTAAGCCAGAGCTACCAAGCCCAGAGTGGAACAAGGAACAGGAATGATCCTTCACTCTCTTCCTAGGAAGCCTCTGACCATGGGCTTTGAACAGTTCTGACAGCTACTGGAAGCACACAGAGTTCCTTGGAGACCAGCTGGAGCCCACAGACCCTTCCCAGGGGCACACACACACCACAGACCTCCAGCAGTTTAGGGCAGCTTAGAAATCTGATGCTCAAACACTCATCAAGAAGTAAACTTGCAGCCCTTGAGGCTGGATTTCAGCGGGTGTAGTTTTCACCGTGTTTCCTGGGGTCAACTCGAAGAATTCTGAGTTCTGTAAAAGAAGATTGGGTCTCAACACCGAGCCATTTTGAGAAGCAGTTGAAGATGCCCAAGACTCCTACGTTCCCTTTTTTATGGGTGGGGAGCTTGAAATGCTGCTGGTGCCGGCGTCGGTTACCGAGTCAGTTCCCATGCTGGTGTCAATGCCGGTGTCTGTGACAGTTTCGGTGACGGTTCCGATGCCGGTTCCTGTGTCAATGCCGTTGTCGGATCAAGTGGCGGTTCCGATGTCGGTTCCTGTGTAGGTTCCGGTCTCGGTTCCGGTGTCGGACGCTCCCCGAGGGCCCGGGCCCGAGCGGGGCTGT